ACAGAGGCTCCTAGGAGATTCATTTTACCAGCATTTGGGGAAGGTGGTCAGAAACGGTTCAAGCAATCCGATTTCGATGCAGAAGAAAATAAAGGGTGGATGGATAATGAAGAATCGTGTGTCGATAATGATGCAGCTAATCCGGAACTAACTTGTCAAGTACAAATGAAAAAGGCACGGGGGCAACTAAGTGGGTGGTCCCAACTAAATATATTGACGAATGACAAAAGACTTGAAAAGTCGCCAACTCATTCTCTACTTCATTCAACAGTCTCCTAAACCTTTTTACATGGAAACTATGAAGGCATTTTCAAACACTGAAGTGACAACATCTTCGGAGGTAATGAAGGCGCTACAATTGGTGACAGCAATGCAAGATTTATCCAGTAAAATGCTATGGTAGCCTTCACCGATGTTTCAAAGAAGACTGAATTCTAGGGAAGTCAAATATCGATACTTGACGCCCTGACAACCTGATACTAGTAGGAGAATTCCACACCGCCTTTCCACATAAGCCGACAATGAAGCAGCGTATAGAAGTATTCCCATTGAAATACAGCCGCCTACACTTATAATCGGCACACCCAACTGTATCAATCGCCGCGTTTTCAGGTTGTCGGTTTTTTCGAGAACAACTGCCCAAAATAATTGAAGCATATTCGTATCGCATAGGGCATTTACAAAGTAAAGGGCAAGGCATGGAGGAAGCGCATATCAAGACGTAGCTTGTCATCTCCCCTACATATTTTTTGATTGTCAGCCGATTTAGCCTTTGTACTTAAGACACAGGACTCCGAATTCACAGCCCATGCCACTACATTCTAAGTGCTCTTGTCCACAAATCATGCGATCGTTTGTTATGCTCACAGAATCAGAACTTACATAGGTAGAAATGGGAACGATCTTAGAAAGGGAAGTAGCTAGAAGTGTGTTTCTTTTTCGCTTGGAAACTTTAAAGACATATTTAAGTTCTAACTCCTTAAACGTTATACATATACATGCACCCATATTAGATATCTGTATTGTAATACATATTTTGTTGGATGTACCTTTTAGGAAAGGAGCGGACAGTAAATACAAACCTCATGGCGGATCGGACGCCATCAGCCCCCACCGAGGAGGAAGCGCACCCCCTTTAGTTATCGCTACCCTCTAAACCGTGCCCTCATCCTGCTCGGCTGCTTGTCCCAAGGGCATAAGAGCTGAGGTGAAAGGAAGGAACACCGGACAGAAAGACTTTTCCGAGGAAATCTAATTCAAACAAGCACTTTCGAAAGATGGAGGTACTACAATTAGTTTAAAAATATCCAAACTTTCCTTAGCAAATAACTTATTTCCAACTAGTTGCAAACAAAGTATCCAAAAGTCAGATTTATTCCGTTGTCTGAAAAAAGAGGCACAAACCAACCAAATTAGTGAAATAAACTCTTTAAAAAGTTTAATGTGCTTTGAACTGGGAAAAGGAGGAAGAAGGAGAAAAGTAAGTGAATATTCCGCTTAAATGAATAGAATTTGATGTTTCATTAGTGATGGAGTGTGTCAAGGATACTGACGGTCCGCGACTGTCAAAAATCCCATTAATTAGAGAGAAACAAACCTTTTGGAGGAAAGGAAATCATCCTCTCGAGGCTTTTTTAGCACGAATAAGCTATGGGAGAGGGAGAGAAATGCTCGGGCCCCTGCGTGATCCGAATAGTATGTCCATAACACTAACTGATACTACTCGTGGCATATAAGTAAAAAGGCACAGCAGAGAAATTTTGAATACTTGGGCAAATAACGTAAAGAAGAGGAAGCGTCTCTCAAGATATGCTAATCTAGCCTACATACCGCTAGGTTCTACCACTCACTTTTTTTGTTGCTCCAGTGGAAAATAAGTCGCACAAACTTGCAAAATCACAGGAACTCTGATAATGGATGTTAGGTTCCCGGGAGTGGGGGAAAATGATCATCCTTCCATAATATATGCTTTTAGCTCTTTCTCCACCACCTTGGTCCCAGCTCAGGCATTCCACAAGGGAAAATCACCTTTCAAAGTGGAATTCAACTGAGAGAACGTAACTTCGAAACTCTTGTTCGAGCTACTCGGTCCGCCTGGACTAATTCAGCAGCAACATGGATAACAGCACAGCGAGAGACCAACAGCAGAACTAATAAAGCCACATAGGATTTCGATGATGCATTCAGAACACCTACTTGGTCCACAGGTTTCACAGCCTTTTCATAGATGACTTAAAATTCTGAATCACAGCAAGACAGTAAAATACAAAACAGCTTTATTTAAAGTCAAATTAACTGAGGTCAATCATACTTTCCCACAGATTTCATGCAAAAAACCGGATGAAATTCCTTGCTAAAGGTTTGTGCCACCCACCTCAGGTAGCGTTTGTAAAGCAAAGATGCCCAAGATCCAGAATACCTACTTGGTTCATCCACTTCAGCGTAAATTTTAAGCTCTCGATCAGTCAAATTTCGCAAACGTGGATCGACATAAGTTTCGGTATCGAATTCTTTCAACTGTTTCTCATCTCTCCTCATCTCAGCAAAGATTTCAACCACTTGCCGCCTAGAATTTTCGTAAGCATACAGTAACGACACACCTGTAATCCCACAACACATCATTCTCTGGGACCGCCTGAATATTTGAGAGTATTTTCACCATCTCACGGAGTAGAAGTGATGACAACGTATCAAAATCATCCATTCTCTGATATGAACGAAACAAATGTGAGCGGTAACTCCATCCACTGATGTCCATTGGGTGTGCCAGGTTCCAAGCATTCATACGCACTAATTCTGAGTGGAAAAGCTGAAAACCAGAAAGAGTCCTGAAAATTGGGGCAAATGGTTCAAACTAATCAGAAAGATTGTGACTTATGATACCAACCTGGCGAGTAAATCCACACTTATGAAGAAACCACCGGCGATGCTGCCAAACCATGTAATTACAACGATGTTTGTCACTCAGGGCTTCGCATAAATCAATCTCATCACTGGCTAGTGACTCGAGGTCCACGTTGGGAAGACGTTCCAAGATCCAATGCCTGTGAAATTAAGCATAAAAGGGTTTTATAATCCTCACCTGTGCTGAAGCGGCTCCGTTGCCCTCGGGAACTGCATAAGGACCAGTCGAGTAAAAGCGAGCTCATCTTTCAGGGTTAATTGACCGTTTAGTAAGAGTTGCTTTCTACGGTGCCAAAACGTCATGAAAAAAGGTACGAAAAGAAGCAAGATGGTAAGGTATTCTACACAAGAAACAGGTTGACAAATTAGTTGTGGGTATACCGATAGAGGGAGGCTCTTTTGAATCAAGTACACTTTGGTAGATTGGAAGCCAAAGACTTTGACCGCAAAGGCAAGAGCAAAGCGCAAAGCTATCATCGACTTCAAGAATTTCTTTGTGATCTGTACCATTAATGTGGGGAATTAAGTCGTATTCTTTCCTGCAAAAAAGGAGCAAAATTATGTAGGAAGATCTACTGGTGATAGTAGATTGCAAATAAGCGCCCTCACTTTGATTTTGAAAGACTGTAGATTCGGGAAATGAGTTCATTTTCAGGTGACATTGGACTATGTAACCAAAAAGGTAGATTAATCAAATAAATAGTGGTATGAACACAATTTCTCGAAAGATATACGGTAATAATGATAAACATGGCAAAGAATGCACATTTAAACAGAAAAAAAATAAACAATAATCCACTACACCATTCCCGGAATTACTATTAAAACGGCTTGTATCCAACTAATAGAAGGGCAAGAAACACGGGGAAGAAGGCCTACAGCCCGGATGATTTGAAAGCTTGCTAGTTTTCAGGAGAAGTAAAATTTTTTCTAACGTTATTGTTGCACTTTTGGTACTAAATTGTGCAGCTATTAAGTACTTTATTTACAGCCTAACCCGCTTTGCAAAAAAAGGGGAATAGGTTGTGTGGATGCAATGATCCGCGAATAATAACAATAGTCTGAAATCGACTGAGTGCATTGAAATGTATTTAAAAAGGCTTTGGTAAGAAGTGGGTTTTCTATGTCTGCTACAGAGCATTTTTAATATGAAAACTTAGATCATATCTGCTCTTAATTATGGCTTTAAAAATAAAATGCTGCCTGTTCACAAGTTTACTTTCGTTTTTATATATTCCCCTTAATTATGACTTACCACTTTTATAAATGTCAGTGCTCACAAACTTTTATTTTATGTTTAATTGGCCAATAGATTAAGCGTCCCTAAACGCGCATTCTGCAAACCGTATCTTTGGCGGTCTGCAGATGGCATCTCTCCCGATCGGTGTTCGTTTTTGCTGTCGGAGGCGACGGTTTTCTGTTAAAAGGCAATCTATCTTATTTTTTCGCCTTTTATGAATACGCACAATCACTGTGCTGCTTAGTTGAGCCTTTATTTCCCCACCCTTTATTGTTCTTTATTACAACGTGCGAATTAATGTCCCCGCCGGTGTTTATCTACTTCTTTCTTATATTTTAGATGGCAATTACATATTTTTCTATTTACTCTTATCATCTACGCAACCTTTCATGCTTCTCGCAAACCAATAAGCGTTGTCAAGTCGGTCCTTCACCCCAATTGCACCGAAATCGCTCTAAGAGAAAACAAAACAATAACTCCCGAAAATTCCACGTTTTGCATGTGGAAACCCTTCCATACGGACAACTACAATGCTCTTTTTGGATATATTGACCTTGCTTATCTCCTCTCCTATGCAGTGGGGATGTTTATCAGGTATTGTGTGTCTTGTTTTCGATTCTTCTTTTACTCATTTTTTTTAAAAGAAACCATCTTATCCTTGTTTAGTGGGCATGTTGCAGAACGCGTGAATTTGCGGACTTTTCTCCTTTGGGGATGCATTCTTTCTGGCGTAACTACCGCAGCTTTCGGTCTAGGGTACTTCGCTGACATTCATGATCTTGCTTTCTACTTGTTGGCGCAGGTAGGCTACTTATTTGTACAAAGCCCTTTCATTGGATATTTCAATAGTAACTTGGCTTATTTTCACATTACGGATTGTTGCTGGACTTACACAATCTTCTGCGTGGCCAGCCGTCGTCACATGCATGGGAAATTGGTTTGGGAAAGGGAGGTAAATTTGCTTTGAGTTTCTTTTTTTACTTCTTAATTGCAATAATGCAGTTTGAACAAAAAGTGCAGGACGTTTTTTGCCTTTATCGACACTGAACAGGTTTTTCATTAACTTCAAATAAGTTTTCGCTTATTAGGTGTTTTTCTGTCGGTAATCCCTCTGGTTCTTCATTCGTTCTTATTTATACTTATGTTATATGGTCACTACTGGAGAAGACCACATTGAGCTGCTTATTGTTATTTTCTCATGAAACTAAATCGAAACTTACCTTCCCCACTTTTTTCAGTCTAAATCATTTTCCTGTGTTCTCATTCCATTTCATTGCTGGCCATGTTTGATGCCAATGTAAACTACCAGTGCCAGTTGACTTCTTGGGGTTTAATCATAATCAACTAGTTTAAAATACTTAAGATACCCCACTCAATTCTTATTGGAAAAATGTTTTAAATGGCAAATTTGTAAATGTTAATCCTTCGTAACTTTTGCTTACTAAGTTACTGGAGTCGGAGTGTAAAATCGCGTATTTTTGGGGTGAATTCGAGTCAAGTGTAACCACGAAATTTTTAAGAGTACTTTCACTTCAAGTGAAATGGTCATAGCTCTGACCATGCCGGGCGGATTTTTTTAACTAATAGCTATTATCACAAATAAACAGACTGACGTGAGTCTATGTTCCCACTTTTGTGTGCATTTGTGCAGCCATGAATTTACGGGTTATACTGGTGGGTAGTGAGCTGAATGTTCCATCAGGCAATTGCCTTACGTTTTCTTTCACTTATTTGAGTTAGAAGTTTTCTTCACTTTTTGTGGCTGCATTGCTAATCCGAGTGCTGCTGTAGTGTAGATTTCATCACGGAGAGGTGTTAGGCATGTGGATAACTATTGAACTGACTGTACAGCAAACAGAAGCGTACGTTAGTTGTCACCACTTCCCTCTACCGGCCAATATTAACCCATTCCTAATCACACGACTGAGTTGTCCAGCTGCATGAGAGATGAATCATCCATTTATCTCCAAATGCTTGTAATGAGCAAGCACCAGCAGGGTTTTATGTGCTTACTATTTTAACAGTAATCCTGGCTTATTTGAAGTATATCGTTCTTGAGCTATGCTGGTTGAACAGCTTAGCTCATATGTTAACTAGATCAGCGAACGTTAGGAGTAAACCTTTTACTTCTAATTACCATTATGGAATTCATCAAATGACGCATTTTATTGACTAACTGCAATTAAAATGCGATTTCTGTTTGTCTACATGTCAAATCTGTTTCTTTAGTTCGCAAGTGCATGACACAGGATAGAGATGTCTTCTGAGTCAAAATTGGTACTAATCGGTCAGGTGTTGGAGTCATCTTCACTTTATTCCAACTTTCGATTCCTTATAGTACAGGAAATCACTTCATTTTGGATCCGTCCACAATCCGAAGTATGCATTCTGATTCTTTGATTTATCACCGTTTGGCATGAATACCTTGAACTTCCATGGTAATGTCTGTCCCAAAAGTAATCCTGACACCTCAAAACATTTATACAGGTGAGGTTAGTCAATGAACTGAACGACACTGCTTGATGATCGGCTGGTCAGGTATAAAGATCCCTTTCAGTGAATGATTTTAGTTCAACTTTGAGGACAGAAATGTAAGGAAAAGGGGATTGCGCAGTGGAAAAAGACGGTGGATGCATTTATCAAAGGCCGCAATTGGTTTATTGTCTTGATTTTAGCAGTGGTTACCATTACATCGGTAGATATGTAGGTCACGATTAATGTATGAACGTATGGGTAATTAGCTACTTCACCTTGTTTTCTTTTCGTTAAGGGTTATTCAACATAGGCACCTCCGCTACTTTCCTCCACTTCACAAGCACTTCCTGCCTGTTCACATTGTCCACCGCTGCCTTGGTCAGAGTGTAGGTCTGCTCCTCACGTGACTAACTCATGTAAAAGTCACTAATCAAAAGGGAACTTCTTTTCAGATTTTTTGATTAGCTGACTAAACTCTCGTCTCGAGAGTGTCTTAAGCTACCGGGATGCCTTGCTTTTTGCTTGTGTCAGGTCGAAATGCATGCTAGAAGCAGTAGTAGAAAAATAGTAGACAAAACGTCCGGGGAGACTTTGATTCCTATTTTTTAGTATCCAATTAAATGAGATGTTTCACATCTTCATCACAGAGGCGTCCAAGGAATTTATTCACTGTCTTTTCCTGGAAACATGGATCTTGAATCATTTAGCAATCAAGGGATTCCCAAATCCAAAATGTACCTTGTTAGTGGTCATCCTCCAGACCTGTGTAATGGACTATGCATGAAAAATACCCGGCTTTTCATAGCCATATTTGTGAATTATTTTGTACCCAGCACCATAACGTGATCCAAAAGGTCTATGCTTTTTTTCCTTGTGGCTCGCGGGAATGTGATTGTTCACAACACTGTAAAACAGTAACAAGTTGGTCCGACTATACTTTATAAAAAGTACTTTCTCTTGCTTAAAGGTACACCGACAAACTTTGAAGCTTATTAGACTACTGTTTTTCGCTTGTATCACCTTAAAAAAAATCTGGCTTTTCAGGCTTTTCACGACTTGACTTGTGGTGAGGCAAGATTTTTGCATTGCCTTCTTAAGTGGACACATCACTGGCTATCTCCAAGACATCAACTTCTACCATATCATCTCATCCCTAGAAGTGTTTGTGTGATCAACTGCAGACGCAATTGTTCATCATGAATTTCCTGCCTGAGACTAAACGATCATAGCTAGCGTTAGTCAGCTGGAAGCTTTTTTTTCGCAGGATACCGCAAAACTCCATACCTTAAAACTTCCTTATTAGATTTTTCCCTCACTACCTCCCACCATGATTCTTTAGGTTATTGTCATCATCCCTTGCCATTAGCCAGTCATATAAACGCATGCGAAACAAAATAGGCGGTTGGGAAATAAAAGTTAGGTGGAAATGTTAGGCTTTTGGCTTATAGTAGCGAAATGCCTTGTAAAAGCAGAGCTTATGGCAGTGTTTTTGTCCTGTTGAAGAAAATACCATAAATTGTTGTAATGCTAATTGCTGCAACTTTCGTAAAAGCTTGTCAGGTCTAATATCTGCACCTTGTTATTTATTTATCACCTCACACTTACAAACTCCGGAGAAAAACGTGTGATCAATGATCTCTGTCCTCATGGTCACATTTTGGTCGCGTATGTGAGGCTTATAAACAAACGGTGACCTTGGAATAACCCCTACTATGCAATAAACATAGCTTTATGATACATTGTAGTTTTGTTTTATTTCATCATGACAGCGAGGGAATGGGGGCTTCAGAATGTCCTGGCAATGCGTGGAGGCAGAACTGATTGGCACCTTACAAAATGAGTTAGCGATCTTCTTAAACCGTAGCTTGAGATGGGTGAAGGTGTCTCTCCGCTTCCTTTTATCAGGTCTAGAGTCAACTCATTATATCCGCCTCGGCGTTATCCCCAACTCATTTCAATTTCCTGTACGGCATGTGGCTGGCCAGCCTTTTTTCCTTGTGTAATCTGAGGTGGATATATACCAGCGGGTAGATTTGAGATTAACGGGTGAATGTAAGACGTAGAGATTGAGAATTCAGGAAGTGTGGAAGGATTGATGATTGAGTCAACATCTGGATTGTTAATTTGACCCATACTAGATAGATCCGAGATAGATGAGTGTGGACCGAAGACATCCGCTTTCCGCCAGCTCAATTCATCATTATTCACCACCGCCTTAGTTTCAGCTCAGATCCATCCTCCACCCGACATATGGTTACTTAATTTGCCTTAACATATGCCGACTAAGATCCCATACCTACTCTACAAGAAGGATGGCCGACTTCCCTCTCACATGGATAAGACCCTGTGCTTTCGACGCGCAAAATTCTGTATATGACAGAACGCTGCTTCATCCTTCCCCTTTTATACAACTTTATCTCAGGGAGTTTGGTCTTGACACATAAGCGGAAGTACGCCATAGGCCTATCATTGGAGAGAATAATCATCAGGATGGAATTGGCTAAATCATTTCTGCGTAATGTGATACCTTCTCCAAATGCTATACAAATTTTACGAGTAGAGTCTGTTCCACACGATTTCGGATCACCTCAGAATCGACTGATGTTTCAGGCGGAAGCAAAATAAGAGGAAATTAGTGAAAGGTATGGTAAAAGGGTGTTGTTTTGATGGGTCGACGCATGTCAATTCTTTACAATGTAGGTAAACAGTGCTACGGCTGGATTTTTCTCTGAGAATTTGTATCCTTTCCCAAATAATATCATTACCTTCTTTGAGTAACTCTTGGTTTATTTTTTCCCAAGTTGCTATGATTTCATTAGGTGTGCCCTCCCTGTAATCACTCACCGGTCATCAAATTGACTTTAACCAGCTCACCTGCCACTCTCTTTAGTCCTATAATAGTCTAAGGTTGTCAAACACTTTTATTTCCTATTTTATCGTCTCTTCTTCCACTAGTCGTGGTCTGATTTTGGGGGTTTGGAACTCCCATGTTAGTCTGGGGAATATATTGGGCGGTGTGCTGGCGGGAATTTTTGTGGAATTCGCTTGGGGATGGTCCTTCTTCGTACCTGGCCTGGTGCTCGTGTTTATGGGCTTCATGGTTTGCTTCTTCCTTGTCCCTTGTAAGTGCCGTATTGAATCTTGTATTTCTGTTCCTTTTTTTGGCAATCTCTGATTTGCCTCCCTGCTGTTATAGATCCGGAAGATCTTGGCTTTCAGGCACCGCATAGAACTATTAAGGTGGGTTATTTAATTTTATCTTACTTTGTGAATTATTCAATGTCGTGATGTTTAAGTTTTGAGCCTTAAAAATGGTTGAATTATTATGAAAAGAATGCATTTGGACCTATATGGACGATTGGTACGAAGGTCGTAACTCGGTGGATTGATTGTCCTTGTCCTCATGTGCACACTGGCCATTGTAACAATAGCAATGGAATTCAGTCAATGTGCTGAAATCAATCACCCATCTGTGGGCGGAAATGGTGATCAGGAAGTTGCGATCCAGCTTCCATCTCGTGTAGATGTTAATGGGTCTCTTCGTGCCCAATGCCCCCTCTCTTTGGCAAACCATTGAGCTGTAAGCTGATTAGTACACCTTTATAAACTCTCCTGGCAATTACACACGTATATGCACACATGCCTTCTGTCCACAATATCCAGCATGGAACGGGTCCCTGCTCCTTTCCCCGTGGTGCAATTTACTTATGACCTTCATCGCCCAGTGTGACTAATATCATACAAGAATGTGAGGTTCGGAAGTAGTTACGAGGCGCGGTAAAACAAGAGCTGTTACCACTCTTCTTGCTCTTAACCGAAAATCTAGAGTACCAAGCCTCGAATCCATAAACGAAGTTACTGGAGCTACGCGCATTAGGTGAACTGACATACTCCTCAAAATCTGGATAGCTATTATCACCACACTTCAGACTTTTCATAATCTCTCCTGTTTTTTATTGTAGAGAGGAGAGGAGGACACTGACGATACAACACCACCTCTGGTATGTTTTATCAAAATCTAACTTAAAATTTTAGCTATCAGTAGTAAGACTTTACTTTTTTAAAATCACATCTTACCTTCGATATGCAAGATCTCTTGCCATGTTTTTTTAGCTTTCAGTGGAGCAGAATGATGCAGAGGACCATGAAGCGTTGCTTCAATCAACCAGTCCTCCAATATCACGAGAAAACGTTCAAGCAATCAGTTTTTGTGGCGCTCTCGCTGTTCCTGTAAGCTAATTGGCTATGTTTTCCCCCCCCCCTTCCCCTCGGAAATTGACTAATTGCAGAAATCGTCTGCTGAAAGGATGCTGTAGTTGCTTCTATTCACTTTCAAAACGACTTTGTATAGTTGGCATACACTACTAGTAGCATTAGGGCGTATATATCCACTGACGGAACCTGCCTTAATGATCTCTCCAACTTGCCTTTCCTCCTCATTTCCTCCTTCTCATTGGGGTTTCTCTGATTAATCCCAAGCCTGGATCGCTGTATGACCTTTTAGGGCGTCGTCGAATACTCGTTGGCCCTGTTTTTCGTCAAAGCAACTGCCTACATATTCCTCTTTTGGTTGCCAAGATACCTCAAAGAAGTGCATGGATTGGAGGCAAGCTTGGCCGCTGATACTTCAGCGGTGTTTGATGCTGGCGGAATTCTTGGCGGAATCGTGGCTGGATTGATTACGGATCGGACGACGTGTTACGCTACGGTCTCTGTTATCATGCTTGCACTTGGAATGCCGAGTGTAAGTGTAGTTCTTCGTTTTGTTTTCCTTTTTTTTATAAATTAACGTGGAACCTACTAAGCTGTTTAGTTGCCCTAGGCATCTTAAACAGTCAAACATTCTTAGGTTGTTGGTCGTACTTTTGCCGTTAGCCTAGATGTAGATTTGGATGGATGTGTAGACGTATAGACGAATGGATGGAAGGATAAATGATTGGTGATTGCGTAAATGGAGAGATGAAGGGATGCGTGAATTGATGGATGGAAGGAAAGATTGCAACTGCTGTGTCATTGTTCCCTTCACAAATCAGTGAAAATTGAGCTGACGAAGTCTTTACTCTTCCCTACTCAACTTGGCACTCTTGTACATTCCTCTTTTGGCAATGTCTGCCGTGTTTGTAAACTATTTCGTATCATTTGAGGGCCGTTTATTTAACCTTTTGAATAGATTATCATTCTCCTACTGAAGTCTTACCAAGAACGTTACTCTATTTGCTGACTTTTCGCGTTTACTTTCAAATTTCCGTTTAGCTTTACCTGTACTTCCGCGTTGGAGACTTCTCCCTGCCCGTTTGTATATGTAAGTTCATCTTTTTTCATTACCATTAAATTAAATTGCTTGGATTTTTATAGCTTGGAAACGGTAAAGGTGGGAGGAGGAGGTGGGGGCTGAGTATCACTTGATGGTGCTCGAACTAACTTTTCGACTACTTCTTTTTGCAGTTAAGGGTTATGGGCAGATGTGCCAGAAACGCAATTTCATCTCTGTTGGCAAGTCTGTGCTCCTTGTGGGGATGTCACTCCCCTCTCTCCCGTAGAGTCATCGTCCCCGAGTGAAATGTTCAAAAGTGGGTAGCAGTGCGCTCTGGACTTTCACTTGATTGCAGTCAAAACCCTAAAAAGGGCTCTGGAATTAGCTCCAGCAAATAGGCGAATATTCGTTTTTAAAGATATTGTGGAGAAGTGGAATGCGATTGTTGAATCTACCTCCAACCCAGTAGTTTTGTACTGGCAGTTGAATAGTTGTTGCGGCTAAAAATCCTTGAGTTAAAATATTATTAGTTTCATCTTCAGTTACTTACCATTTTAAGTACTACTTTCAACCTATATTCAATTTTAGGCATGTTGTTGACCTTGGGATTCCTGATAGTGGGTCCCTATTCGCTCATCACTACGGTCGTATCGGCTGACCTTGGAACGCACCAATCACTGGCCGGCAACGCCAAAGCCCTGTCAACGGTTGTTGCTATCATTGATGGCACTGGTTCAATAGGTAACGAACTGCTTTTTCTAAATAAAGTTTTGTGTATTTTGATAGAATCCAGCATAAATACCATCGAATAAATGTAGTCAGGGGTTTACCTGAAATGACTAGCAATGGCCCTGATTAATGTTGATGGTATAGCGTCCATCGTAGCAACAGGGATCAATGAATTAGTTTTTGGGATATTGTAGGTATGTTTGTGTTAACGAAATCCGTGCTACTTTCCAAGGAGGTCAGCTCAGGGGAAGATCTGTGGAGAGTAATATGATCCTGAGAATTGTTCGACCATCCATCATCTCTTTTGGGTCCTTCTGCCTGCATGAGGAAGAGGACATTTGGAAACCATCTAGCAATTAGGAATTTAACAACCGTCCTAACGAAGGTGGGCTCACTAACCGATTAGGCGTAAAGGCGATTCGAGTTTGAGGAGTGGGAATTATTTTTCTTGAGTTATTAATTACGTAGGTTTTCAGCAAAGCTTGATAATCTTCCCCAATTTATAGAATAAGAGAGTTTGGGGGGATATTTGGTGATGGTTTAATTTTGAGATCACGCATGAGACGCATGAGACTATTAAGTTGCAAATTGGTTTTTTTATTCCTGCAGGAGCTGCTATTGGTCCCTTTGTTGTGGGCTTGCTTGTCGAATACGGCTGGGGTGTCGTCTTTATAATGCTCATTGCCTTTCTTGGAGTCGCAATTTTGGTGAGATATCAGCTAAGTATTAGCTTTATTGCCAAACATCCTTTTTTAAATCAACTTGCGTTGGTGTTGTATACTCAAAAACTTCACAGCTCGCGCACACTTTTCACTTTAACCATATACAGCTCACCCAGTGATGATAAGCATAATGCACTGCGCAGAATTATGGAGGTAGAAATTTAATGAAATTTCTTTCTGTGGGAATTTTAGCTCCTTTTTCGACGAGTTGTTCGAGAAATCCGCGGCTGCTGTCGTTCCTCCGTTCATTATGTTAGTCTGTCTTGAACTCATGCCATAAATCATTGCAATTTGATTAGTTTATTTTGACGGCCTTATAACTGTACATAATCGTTGTATTATTAATCATTTTTGTCTGCTTTCTTGAAAGGACCTTATTCCTTTTCTATACTTACTTAAATCCAGCGTTAAAAGACTTGAAATGGAAGCAATGTGGCGTGTTTTACTGATTGGGCAGTAGTCAACCAATGAGGGGAATTAGCCAATAGACGAACTCTGGATACTGTGGCCAATGAGAAAGTAAGAGACCTGGTCGTGGCTTCCAAAGTCGACTTTTAAGGTTAAGGTGGTGACTCACTTGAATGGCTTCTGAGGTCAAGAGGTCAAATCACTCTTGATTTAATTATGCCTCGGGTTGAATCGCAAAATGAAGGTTTTATTTGGGAACGAATCGATTTTCATGCAAATGCGGTTAGTCCGTTCTTTGCCAATCTCACACGCCTGAACTTGCAAATCTCGCCTCTAGGATCGCCAGACCACATGGTATTTTTATCAGTTTACGATGGCTATAGCAGCACCAAATTGTTTGCCAAAATCAAAGTGGTTTAGTTCAAAGCAACGTGAAGCGGGTGTCTTGTTTACAGTTTCGGCATTTGAGTGTCAGGTGCTTTAGTTGATTCGATGGTGCAAGCATTGACGGCTTGCCGGGATAACAAAGCCTTGAGAACTGAAATGGCAGTTTCTCCTCTAAAGTCCAACCCTTGAATTGATGAGGAAACTCGCAACCCTAGAAGATGTTCTTTTTCCACTTTCTACAGGTTTTATTTTCCGTCTAACCTCCGAACTTTCCCAAGAATCGTGCTTTCTCTCAGCCCCTCCTGGGTGGCTCATCAACAATAAGCGTGCTCTAAGCGTACTGGTAACCACTTGGAGGCGAAAGTCAGTTGCTTTAAGCGAACTCAGCCCTCGTCTCCGCCAGTCTCCACCAAACGTTCGTCTTATTTGTATACGCAGGTTGTACCTCTTTACCTGCTTACGTGATTCTGTCAGTAAAGGCATCTCTTCTGAAGCCCCTATCCCTTGATGATTCGGTTAGGAGCTAGATAGGATCCAGGCCGCACGGACATAGAAACTGCAGTTCACAATAAGTGAGGACTCGAATTGCATTGGTTGTCTAGGCGGTTTTTTTGCAAGTGTGGTAATTGTTTACGTCTGGCATTTTTTCCAAGTCTTGTCTGTGATGCAAATTGAATAAATATTGGCGAAACTAGTGACTAGATGAAATTTAGGCCAGGTGCAATTTTGTTGCCCTTTGTTCTTGGAGTCGGGTGGACTGAAAATAACTTTCTTTGAATAAATTTATGGTGCAAGATCAAGTGCTTTTCTGAATGACAGCTTTAATTGCGTTTTAAAAAGGGGTACTGAATGGGAAATTTGTTATCATCAAGAATTCCTTCGCAATAGGAAGATGAAATCAGAAGTGTAATGTCTGTCATTCTATATTTCTAGGAGATAATCTTCCCTTTTATGATCTCTCCGGCCTTTTATTCACTTATCACTTGTCCATCAATCTCCTACTGCTGATTTTATCTATCATTCTATCACCGGCTTCAGCATTAACCTCTTCATCGGCCATAGATGCATCCAACTCTGTAACAATAATGTATCTCCAATTCGTAAATCTACTCCTAATCACCTTATATTCTTTCTAAGCCTACAAAGCTTTATCTACGTTCCCGATCTATCCATTCATTTATCCAATTACCTCTTGTTTATCCATCCACTCATGTCTGATTTGTTTACTTATTGTACCAAGTCTTTGATCCATCAGTCCGTACATTCCTGAACTACCTAGCCTTCCATCTATCTATCCCCATCTAAACATTATTTACTATTCCTATCTCAGTTTCAACATTTGTTTAGCTAACTTAGTCAATTTAAAGACCCATGGACTGAAAAAATTCTTTAATCTGCTTTTTCCCATCCCTTCCTCTTCTTCCTTTACAGCTAACCATCCTGATTCCAACGATATATTTAACTCGTCGTTCGGTAAACTATTTCTCGCTCATTCATCTCTCTACCTAGCCTCGGTTTATTCATTTAGTCCAGATTTGTGCATCTCGATTCATTCACCCACCTGCCCAAACTTACATTCCATCCGCTCTCGTCCGGCTGCCCATCCATCAAATCTGGGCCAATAATAAATTCTAGAAGTACTTCATTTTCTCTTTGATCCGTCATTCCACCGATTCATCCCTTCATCCCAAACCTACTTTTAAATCCTTAGACCCTTCATGACTCCTTTCGGTGAGTAGCTAATTGTTCGCAAGAGTCTTTCTTCCCCATCCACCATCCTCTCCACTAGCCTAGTCTCTGTTCATCTATTAATGCATAATATATTCTTACATTTTGACTACATCCTTCTGCTACGTACCCTTATTTTCGTGTGTTTATTCAACTACCCAATTATCCATCCTCTCACTCCTACCGATTTTAACAAATTAAATCATGTTTACATCCAGAATTCTATCCACTTCCACCTCCGCTGAGAAAACTCTGGAATCATAAGAAACGCTCTCCAATTCAATTTTTGGAAGTCGCCTTTTTCACGCTTAATTTTGAAACATTTCAGAACGTCTTGAGCCTCGCGCTCTCGTTCGGTTTCCTTGATTAGGCAGCGTAGACGGCCTTAAATGTCATAATGACCGCTGTAATGTCAAGGCTAATCAAAATACCGAAAATGGGCGAGATCGGAACTATCCTGTGTCTCCAGCGTCCAGCTAGCTTTTATGTAAACCCCCGCCATATCCCAAACTTACGCGTATGGATGGGACATTTCTCTTGAGGTCTTGGTCCCCCCCTCCCCCCCCTAACTACCAGGATGGAATCTCGGAGTATTCAGCCGTCTATCTAATTATATATGCAAACACCTATTGGACTCTCCACTGGGCTTGTGTTCCCAGAATTCACGTACACTTCCCTTAAGTAAAAGCTGTATTGATGCCGTTCACGGACATCAGAGACGCATTTTACAACCCTCTTACCGTGGTACATATTAAGTCTGCCTTGATGAAGTTCTGCCGATATTCTAAACCGACCTTTGAGTAGCATTTTTTGTAGTTACAAATTAAGTTTTTTTGCCTATTGGGGCAACAAACAGACTAATTGGTTTTAGTTGAGGGCAGTGAATTCCACCATTCTAGCAAACCAATTATTCATCCTGGCCAATATGACAAATTGTGAGCGTTCTCCGGAGCTGCTGTCAAAGGAGTCATACTAGGTGAAGTCACAATCCTTTTTCAAAAAGTAACCGAAGTAACCAAAGCTTCCGACGATTCAGCAGTTGTTTGGTGCAATGTGATTGGCTAATCGTAACTATGACATGCTTAAATTAGCAATCTTAACTTGCGGAAAATAAAATAAGAATCCCACTGAGTGCATTAGCAACCCCACAAATCTCTGCGAGAGGAGTATGTACCTGAATAATTTATGCAAATATATGGGCTTTTTTGTCTCTTACGGAATGATTTCCCCTCCGCTGTTTGCCTCCCAGTCCTTCTGTAGGCTAGCAATAAAGTCACTTCCTAAAACTGTATGTGCATGTCTAGAAATCCTCTCCATCCTGAAAGTGAAAACTTTCGTCCACTGCATTGAAACGTAACCGGCGGGGAGACGGCATCCCAGAATCAGTGGGGCACTCACAACAGAAGGTTTATCGAAATAACAGTGGGTTGTTGCACCCGAGTGAGATCGGAATCGAATACTGCCAACACTGAGTACCACTAAGCCGTCAAAAGAATGGAAAACTAAGTTATGTTTGTTCCATATACAAGCCGAAGTTTGCTCTTAAGCGGTGTGGATGGGATGGATTCGTTAAATGCTGGCGAATCCCTCCTCCTTTAAACCCTCATAAAATGTTGGTTAACCCCCAGTGGATTGGAATAAGAGCCTGTTTGCTTCACAATTTGGGTCCAGATCTCTTTTAATTTGTAGTATGGCTTTTGAAGAGGACGTAATAGCAGAACACACCATTCAGAAAGAGTTACGGAACATTTCTCTTGCCGTATTAATCTTTCTTTACGAAAAAATTGCGTTAACAATAGAATTGAACATCGAGAAACAAGAATTCGTGACAAGAAGGGATCACAATATCTCCAGAAGTGCTCTTCGTTTGTGTGTGACCATGCGACAACGATGGTCTTTTCACTATCCCACTATTCCTCATTTATTCTAGTGGCTTGCAGGTATGTCAACAAATTGTATATCAGTTTACCTCTCCAAGTAGCGATTTGCAGCCCAAACGATCTGCACACAAATAAGAAAACTGCACGAGCTATTTTTGCTTGAAAGGGAAGACACCTTTGAGAAAATCGTATGAATTTATGAAGTTCATCCATCCCTTTGATTTGTAATTTTGACAAAAAGAAGTGCATAACTTGTTTATATAGAAATGGATGCAATTGCAAATTTCGCATCAGTTTATGAATGAATTTTATTTTACTCGACTTTAAAGGCATAAAGTAAATCACTGCTAAATATTTCTCCAGTTTGACCCTGAATTTTACTTATTAAACAAGAGTGGGAAGAGATCGGCTATGCATTAAATATATGGCATGCGAAGTAATATTTTTTTTAATAAGTAGGCGAATGGTAAGCAACGCAGTTTACACTGTAAATAACCCACATTCATTGCTGATTGGTTGAGAGCACTCACATCTCTCTGATTGGTCAATGCGACTTTGGCCAAGGTTACTTTCCGATCAGAACCGGGCTAACCAGGATATACCGCATTCCATGTTTGTCTGGAAACTAATTTAAGAAGGTTAGTTTGTTTGTCAATTTTCCTATTTTAAACTTTTGTATTATTTCTAGCCGAGACACGTTTCTGGCTTTGATTGACCAATAGCAAAGGTTAAGCCTTAATTTGACACGAAGTTATCCCCTAAAAAATAATTGCCAGGATGCTTTATCCCTTTTTATTAAAAGTTTTCCTAATGTAGGAGTGTTTGGGGAGGGAAGTGGAAATAAACAGGAAAGCTAGGAGATTT